TACACCCTTCCCCCACCTCGTTCTTGAAAGAATTTTTCAGACGAAAGAAAGAAAGAAAGAAAATAGGGACAAGAGAGTGGATGCCAGGAGCGAACAGAGGAAACCGGAGGACTCGCCTTGGGCAGGAGGAAAGTGGTTCCAAACGGAGGTCTGAGAGGCCAGAGGACGAAAACTGCTAAATATATGAGGAAATGAAAAAGACGGTAAAAAACTAACAACAGTTTCTAGCGTTGTTACAAATGCCAGACGGTAACAGCGAGGAGAGGGCCGAGCTGAGGTGACCAGTCCCAAGTCTCTGCGTCACCTGGGAGGGGCGAGTGTGCACTGCAGCCGGCGGGAAGTTAATTCTGCTGCTGTTTTTTCATGCCAACCATGCAAATAATAGAAAACAGAAGAGAGTGGGAAAAACACCTCAGTCAACGCAGGAAAGAAGGAAAACGGGTGAAACAAACAGAAAGGCAAAATAAAAGAGATTTCAACCCAAATACATCAGCGGAGACGTGAAGCGGAAATCAAGGAAGGCACTTCTGAGCTGCAGGCAAGTCGGCCGTGATGCTGTCATAATTCGTGGACCTCCCTAAACTTCCGCTCAGCACAGACGGAGCGAGCAGAGAAGCAAAAACAAGCAAACAAGCCCATCGGAAGCGTCTTCCGCCGAACAGACTGCGAAGCGCTGCCTCTCCCGTCACCTCTGCTGCGTCAACAAACCGTCCCGGCACTTGCTGGCTGAGAACCACCACTTACTTGGCTCCGGGCTGTGCGGTCAGGAGCGTGCACGAGGCTCAGCGGGGAGGCTCCTTCCCGCCCCGAGGTGGTGTCCGAGGGGCTGCGGCCGGGCTCCTGCGCCGCATCTGGTTCTGGTTCAGCGGGGGCTGGGAGCTCAAGTGTCGCTCACGCAGCGTGCTCCCACGGGGTGGCGGCGTCATCGGGGTGCACATCCTGAGGGCAAGGCTTCCGAGAGGTCCCTGCAGAGGCTGTCAGGCTTCCAGACACCCAGCATCGCCACCGCACCCCGCGAAGCAGGGTGGAGAGCACAGGCTTTGCGCCATCCGCAGCCTACGGGTCCCATCCCCAAACCACGCCCACGGAGCCCTGAAGAGACTGTGCGGGCCGGTGAGGGTGGGAGAAGGGGCTTGGGAGGGCGCTGAGAACTAGGGCAAGCGGGCGCCGCGGAGCGCTGCGGTGCCCCCACTGGGTGGGCCGGGGCGGGACAAGCCAACCTTGGTCAAAGGATGAACCAGCACGTGATTTTGCCCGGGAAACAAAGAAGAAAACGAGACCTCACCACAAGCGAACAGACAACAAAATGGGGAAATGTGCACAACTTGCACCCTCGGTCACGGGCCAACATACAAGAAACTTCTGAAAATTAAGGAAAAAGTAGCCAAACGACCTCAGAGAAAAATGGGAAAAGCTGGGAAGAGATACAAACAAACTGTTCACATGAAGTGAAACGAAAGCAGCCCTTAAACACAAGGAAAGACGCTCAGCTTCACTCACGGTGAGAGAAATGCGTATGCAACCAGACTGAAATTTCCATCCCTCAGCCCCCCCTGGCAAAGCCCCAGGAGTTTGACAACGTCGCCTCGGGGGAGGCTGGAGAGCCAGGCTCTCCATGTCGCTGGTGGGGCGCACACAAGAGTGCAGCTCCTGGGGAGGGGATTTTGGCAACACGGAGCAGAACAACACAGTCATTCTCCTTTTGGCCTAGAAATCCCACTTCTAAGAATCTAGCCAAAGATACACTTGGAAGTCTATGAAAACCGTGAACGCACAAGGGTTGTCACAGTGGAACTATTTCTAGGAGCAAAAGGCTGGAAACAACCCAAATGTTCGTAGACAGAGAGCTAGCTGACTCAGCGAAGACGCCGCCCTGCAGGGAGCAGCGTGCAGCGCGGAAAGGAAGGTGGGCACCCTCCGCGCGGGGATGTGGAGGCGTGCTGAGGCCCGGTACCCAGCGGACGCGGCCAGGGGAACAGCAGCGTCACCGCGGGCCACCCCTTCCCTGAGAGGGGAGGGGACACGTGGGAATACACACGTGCTTGCCTGTATTA